AGCGAGGCAGGCGCCGCTCGCTGCCGGCGACACCCTCCCCGGGCCCAGCAAGGCGCTTGGAGGAGGCTGTGGCCCCGGTACCCCGCTCCCCGCGCTCCCCCTCGTTGTCCCACCCCCAGGCCCGCAAGGTCCTCGGGGCGGCTGTGGCCACCTGCTGCTCCCTGACCCCGCCCCACGGCCCAGGGAGTCCAGGAAGGTCGCTGAAAATGACAACGTTAACGATGTGCTTATATAACAGATTATGTTAATTTATTTTTGCAGAAACAGAGTCTGGCTGTGTTGTCCAGGCGGGCTACCAACTCCTGGGCTCAAGCAATTCTGCCTCGAGCTCCCAAAGTTATGGGCTTGTAGGCGTGAGCCACCGTGCCCGGCGGGTTCTTTAAAATTGTTATTAAAATATGTTCAACCAGGCATGGTGACGCATGCTTTGTAATCCCAGCACTTTGGGAGGCTGAGGAGAGAGGATTGCCTGAGTTCAGGGGTTCGAGACCCCCAGTAAACTCCTCCCTACAATAGATCAAAAAATTAGTCCGGCAAGGTGGCGTGTGCCTGTGGTTCCAGCTATTTGGAAGGATGAGGAGGAAGGATCACCTGGGCCCAGCAAATTGAGGCTGCGATGGCTGTGAGCGTGCCACTGCCCTCCAGCCTGGGCAACAGAGTAAAACTCCAACTCAAAAAATATATATAAACAGTTAACTATTTTCTCCTCCCAAAAACTAAGTAGAAGTGTCTTAAGATAGGAACGGTATCTTTGGAGTCCAAGGTCATGGAGCATAATTCCTGCCTGTTTGCTGAATACGAGTTTACTTGGCCAAGGTTCACTGAGGGCCTGGCCACAGCAGGCATGTCGGATGCTGATTTAAGATGACAGCAACAGGTAGAAACAACTCTTCCCATTTTATGAGTAAGAAAACAGGACCAGAAAGATAATTTGGGCAAGATCCCGTCACTGACAAGAGCGCAAAATTTCCTGTCTGGGTCCTCTGGCCCAGCAGCCCAAGCACTGTATGATGATACCCTTTGGAGACACTGGTCCACAGAAGAATTGAACTTTTTAAAAAAAATTCTTTTGAGCTGGAGTCTCACTGTCAGCCAGGCTGGAGTGCAGTGGCACGCTCACGGCTACCACAGCCTTGACCTGCTGAACTCAGGTGATCTTTCCACTTCACCCTTTCAAGTAGCAGGAACTACAGGCGTACACTGCTGTGCCCAGCTAACTTTTTGATTTATTGTAGAGACGGGGTCTCGCCAACATGCTCAGGCTGGTCTCGAACCCCTGGGATCAGGCAATTCTCTTGCCTTCGCCTCCCAAAGTACTGGGATTACAGGTGTGAGCCACCGTGCTCAGAGGAGAGTTGAACTTAAAGTTGAAGAATGTTCAAAGGGCTGAGAACTCAGTGTGAATGTGGCTTAAATTTTATAAAATAAGATGTAAATTAATGCTGTCTCTTCTGTGCTTTTTAGGGCACCAAGCACCATAAATTCCATCTATAGGATCTCGCTTCTAGTCCTAAAAAGAAAGAAAGAAATGGCTCTCCCCCACCCCAACTGCATGTCTTGCTTTTGGTTTTTTGCTTTTTTTTTTTTTTTTAAAGAAAATTTCCTGGCTGGGCTCCGTGGCTCAGCCTGTAATCCCAGCACTTTGGGAGGCTGAGGCGAATGGATTGCCTGAGCCCATGGGTTCGCGACCCATCCGGGCAACTTGGCGAGACCTCGTGTCTACAATAAATCAAAAATTAGCCGGGCGTGGTGGCGTGCACCTGTAGTTCCAGCTACTTGGAAGGCTGAGGTGGGAGGATCGCCGGAGCCCAGAAGCTTGATGCTGGGGTGACAGTGAATGTGCCACTGTGCTCCAGCCTGGGCAACAGAGTGAGACTCCAACTCAAAAAAAAAAAAAAAAAGAAGAAGAAAGAAAAAAGTCACTTCTGGATCAAGTTCTTGAAGTTAAGGAGATTATCTTTGCCAAACATATGTCTGAATTGGAACCTCCTTAGTCCTAAGCCCTGTGGTGGTTTTAAAATTTACCATCCTGCCGGATGCAGTGGCTCATGCCTGTAATCCCAGCACTTTGGGAGGCCGAGGTGAGAGGATTGCCTGAGCCCACAGGTTTGAGACCAGCCCAGGCAACTGGGCAAGACCTCATCTCTACAATAAATCAAAATTAGCCAGGTGTGGTAGCGCGCACTTGTAGTTTGGCTACTTGGAAGGCTGAGACGGAAGGATCGCCTGAGCCCAGCAAGTTGACGCTGTGGTGTCCGTGAGTATGCCACTGCCCTCCAGCCTGGACGACAGAGTGAGACTCTGACTCAAAATAAAATAAAATAAAATAAAATTTGCCATCCTTACTTTACGATCTTGTAAATATAGCTAAGTGATACTTGACTGTTATCTCAGAATGAGCAGAAATTGGGGAAAAGAAGCTATATTGGCAATATATGGGAAGTTAATGTACATATTTGATTTTTGAGACAACCTGTAAACAGAAAATCGTATCCCTTTCTTCCCATCATTTGAGTAACAGGCAGGATGTTGTAACGTGTTGTCCTCTACCCATCGAGTGAGACACGTAAGCGCCGTTTGTCGTCAGGACCCTTTAGCGTATTTAAATTCTCTGGAAGGCCACCGTGTACCCTGCTGCTGCTGGCCAGTCCTTTCCTTGCCCCATCTTTCCAGTGGCGCTGCCAGCCTGCGTGGGCACACTGCTCTGAGTTCATGGGGCCTCACTGGTTCATGATGTCAACGCCACAAGACCGAGAAGGAGACCATTGTCTAGTGACATTTAGTCAAGCGGTTGTGTTCAAGCCCACACAGCTGCCAGGCAGACCCGGGTTGCAGGGGCTCTCCGGCCTCTCCAGTCACCTTTCCCTGAGTGCTGATCCGTGATGTGCCCCTCTGGCCTCCACATGGGCTCCTGTCCTCTGTCTTGTTACCCTGGCCCTTCAGGTCTCAACCATGCGTGGCCGCCAGAACAGGGCTTTGTCCTGATTCCAGAAGGCCCCAAAGCACCTTGACCTGTGTACCCGGGCTGCCTTTGGGCCTGTCAGGGCGCGTGTCCTGGTGGAGATGGCCATATCCACCGGCCCGAGGTGCAACATGTTGACGAGGGGACTGTGTCTCGTCTGGCATTGCCATTGCAGGGTCTCCTGTCATCCTGGCACACAAGGTGTCCCTGGAAACCAACTGTATCGTGGAGGGAGGAGGAGATGAGAGCCTGGGCCCCTGAGCTGAACGAGGCAGTGCGTGAACATGGCCCGATGGCAGCTGGTCGTTGTCACGCATTCACTCTGCCTTTCCGTTTACTGAGGTTTTCCTGGAACCACCGCAGTTAGCAGGTTGCCTTCTTCCCAGCTCTTGAGAGGGCATCCAAGCCTAAGTAGCTGCTTTTCTCTTGCCTTGCAATCATCTCCCGGTGCTGCTGACCTTGAAGCTGGATCCCTAGAGCGTCTCCTACGGGACTGACGACTGTGCTATCTGAGGCTGCCTGTCTCCACCAGGGGAGCCTGAAGCCTTCTCAACACGTGGCCAAGCTTCAGAAAGCTGCCGCACGATGTCTGGACGAAGACTTTCCTAAACAAGCATAGACAGCAGTAAGTGCTTTGGTCACACCTTAGCAAGACCATGGCAGCTTCCGCCCCTGTGAACCTTTATACGGTAAAAAAAACTTGCCTAGGGCAACCCATTCGGGTCCTCTCCCACTGTGGAAGCTTTTCTGTCTTTTCAATAAATCCTACTTTCAAAAGAAAAAAAAAAACTTGACCCGTGTGTGCTCTGTAAAGTTGAGCAGTTTGGAGAGGCTGTGTGTCAGGACACAGTGGGCTGTAAATGCAGGTGGAAGTTCAGGGCTAAGACAGTACTCTTGAGTGTCCAGTACTTCTGGGTATGGTCTCTGTTTCAGTATCTACCTCATAGTACATCATGGCTGCTCAAGCTCTGGACATCACATTCCAATTCTAGTCAGTAACAAGGGGAAAAGGGAAGAACGTCATGCCCTGTTTCCTTAAAACACTTCCCTGGCTAATTGTGGTGGTTCAAGCCTGTAATCCCAGCCCTCAAGGAGGCCAAGGCAAGGGGATTGCCTGAGCCTGGGTTCAAGACCCACACGGGCAACTTGACGAGACCTCATCTCTACAATAAATCAAAAACTAGCTAGGCGTGGTAGCACGCACCTGTAGTTCTGGCTACCTGGAAGGCTGAGACGGAAGGATCGCTAGAGCCCAGCAAGTTGACGTGAGTATGCCACCGCACTCCAGCCTGGGTGACAGAGTAAGACTCCAACTCAAAACAAACAAACAAAAACAAAAAACACTTCCCTAACCATGCATGTATCACTCTGCATACTTTTCATCAACCAGAACCTAATCACATGGTCACATCTGGCCACGCAGGAAGGCAACATTTTCTCCCACTAGTGAGTGCCTGAGCACCCAAAAGGACAAACCCCCTTTTGGCCCCTTCCTGGCTTAGCCCAAGGAGACTCGGCAGCAGTGCTTGGGACTACAGCCTTTACCCCAAGGTAGAGAAAACTACAAAATATAGTGATTCTCTCCTTTTTTTAATTTTCATAATTCTTGTTAGGGTTAGAGACAGGTTCTGTTTAGAAATAACTCCAGGAGCAGTTTTTATATTTTATTTTCACATTGCAAATCAGGTTTGCTTCTGCCTCAGAGTGTGTTTATGTAAAATTAAATGAACACAGCCACGAGCTGCACTTCTTTTTCCTAAACAGGTAAAGGGTTAGTCAGTGTGTTGTATTCCCAAAACTTAGTTGTGAATACAGAATTTGCAATCTGATGTAAATAGTGGTTATGTTCCCAGGTCTGTCCAAAGCCATTTTTGGTAGATTCCCTGTGTCTATATCTAATTTGTTGAAAGTTTGTTTTTCTGGCAAGTGTGGTGGCTTATGCCTGTAATCCTGGAATTTGGGGAGGCCAAGGTGGAAGGATCCCTTGAGCCCAAGAGTTCAAGATCAGCCTAAGCAACATAGTGAGACCCTGTCTCAAATAAATTTTTAAAAAGTAGATTAAATTCTTTTTTTTTGAAAGTGAGAAAGCAGGATTTATTGAGAGCACAGAGAAGCTCCCACAGTGGGAGGGGACCTGAAGGGATTGCCCAAATTTTTTTGGTTTTAAAAAATTATGAATGGGTGTTGGATCTGATTAATTTTCTCCATTTTTTGAAATTATCATGTGGTTTTTATTCCTTACTCTATTAATATGGTATAGTATGTTTAATTGATTTTGGTTGTTAAACCAACCTTGCATTCCTAGAATAAATCTCATTTGGGGGTATCCACATATATGAGGATATTTATACAGACATATATTTATATGCTGCTGAACTTGGCTTGCTAATCTTCTGTTAAGGGTTAGAGAGGTATTTTATTTTACTTTATTTTGTTGCATCCGTCAGGGTCTCACTTTGTTATCCAGGCTGGAGTACAGTGGCATGATCAAGACTACTGCAGCCTCAACCTCCTGAACTCAAGATGATCCTTCCATCTCAGCTTCCCGAGAAGCTGTGACTACAGGTGCATGTCACCAGGCCCAGCTAATGGGTTGATTTTTTTTTTTTTGTAGAGACAAGGTTTCACTATGTTGCCTAGACTGGTCTCAAACTCCTGGGCGCAAGCAAGAGAACCTTCCACTTCAGTCTCCCAAAATGCTGGGGTTATAGGCATGGGTCCCTGTGCCGGCCAGGCATTTTAAATTAAAGGGGCTGCTGCCTGAGCTGACTCTTTGGAATTGATAGGAATTAGTTAAGTTAAATCATTAGTTGGCAGATTGGATGAAGGACTGGCATTAGGGGAAGAGAGAGGATTGAAAGAGCTTGAATCGACTACAGGCGCGGGCAAAAGAGCAGAACCCAGAATAAGTATGGCAAGGGCAGAAAATTAGAGGCAGGCTGGGGTTTCAGGTGTGATGTTGGAGGCAGTGCTGAGGCCAGCAGGAGCCCATCCACAGATTGTCTTGTAATTCACTTATAATGAGCAGTGTTGATTTTCTTCTGTGCCAGCAAGGCTGTAAAGGGTTTTAAGTAGAGAGGTTCATGGTCATATTGAAGCTTTGAGCAAAGATCACACCCAGGGACCGGCCTGAGGAAGGGAGTCCAGTCAGAAGCAGAAGCAGCAGCTCCCATGAGAGATGTAAAGGCTCAGACAAGAACAGAGGTGGCCAGGCATGGTGGTTCATGCCTGTCATCCCAGCACTCCGGGAGGAGGAGGTGAGAGGATTGCCTGCACCTGGGGCTTCGAGACCAGCCTGAGCAACTTGGTGAGACCTCGTCTCCACAATAAATCAAAAAATTAGCTGGGTGTGGTGGCATGTGTCTGTGGTTCCAGCTACCTGGAATGCTGAGGTAGAAGGACTGACTGCTGAGCCCAGCAGGTCGAGGCTGCAGTGGCTGTGAGCATGCCACTGCACTCCGGCTGGGCGACAGAGTGGACTCTTCCAAAAAAAAAGAACAGAGGATGGAGACTGGCAACTGAATGGGAAAGTGTTTCAGGATAAAGGAGACTCTGATGATCGGTGTGTCTGTGTTTGGGTGGAAGTGGAATGTGGGACAGAATCATACACGGCTGACCCCTGGCTGGTGGAGCCAGATGCTGGGGTGACCAGGTTCCTCCATCTTGCTGCTCCCCATTCTCGGCACATCCTTTTCCCCTTAGAGTCAGACGGGGATGTTCAGTCCCAGCTGGCGCGTTTAAGTTCCAGGAATGGAAGAAGAACAGGTGGTGAGGAAAAGCATACTACCCACTCAAAGGGTCTTTCTCCACAGGTCTGACTCCTGGGGCCTAACCACGTTGCAAAGCCTGCAAAATGGAGCCTTGGCTGTGGAAAGTCATGTGCCCAGGGCCGTGGGAGGCTCTTCGATGTGGCGGGGACCTTTAGGAACAAATGGAACTGAGGTGCAATGGGCAACATCCACCCTGGGCAATCCAGCGGGGGCTGTGGCGCTTCTGAGACTGGGGGACTTGCCTTGGCAGAAGTGCCTGGCAGAGGGATGGCTGTTTCCTTGAGTGCTGCTCTAAGGAACTCACTCGTCTGCCACCACTTGCTTCCTCCCTCCCTCCCTTCCTCTCTCTCTCTTTCGAGTTGGAGTCTCACTCTGCTGCCCAGATTGGAGTGCAGCGGCATGCTCATGGCCACTGCTGTCTCGACTTGCCAGACTCAGGCTATCCTTCCGCCTCCGCCTTCCAAGTAGCCGGAACTATAGGCACGCGCCACCATGCCTGGCTTACGTAGTGATTTACTGTAGAGGTGAGGTCTCGCCAAGTTGCCCTGGCTGGTCTTGAATCCTGGGCTCAGGCAAGCCTCTTGCTCGGCCTCCCAAAGTCTACCCCTACTCTCAGTGCCGCTTTGCTCCTTGCACTGGGTTGAGCCTTTCCAGATGGCCCGGGCTGCGCTCAAGCAGGCTGCACAGAGGCGTGGCCAAAGGCGGCCATGCTTGCTCCTTCGCGCCTCTCCCCTGTTGTCTCTCTCCTGTCTTGTGGGGGCTCCTGCCTGGAGCACCCTCTCAAGAAGCCCAGTTCACGCCAAGCGTCTACTCATCAGACCCCCAAGCTGAGTTGGACGCTCCCATTTCTAAACCCCTGTAACAATTTGCCCACACATCTTCTGTGCTAGTTACCCTCTGCTCTGTGCATAGAAGGCTCTCAAGGAACACTGGCAAACTGCATGGATTTTGACCTTGTCATCTGTCCCTCGAAGTGGCAAAGCAGATCCAGGTGGGATCTTCAAGGCATAGAAACAACGTGGCTTTCCATGAGGCCGAGGTGGGCCCTTCCAGGCATCTCTAGTTGCTTTCTTGGGGAGCTCCTTCCCCACAGCAGCCCACCCCTGCGCTTTCCCTCGTGAGCTCAGGTCACGAATACTCACGGGTGGGGAGACTCATCACCCAAGGCCTGCCCCCAGTCTCCATCATGCCCTGGAAGTCAGTAGATCTTTCCCTCCCCCTACAAACCCGGGTTCCCAGCACGAGTCCTGGGGAACTCACGAAGGCAAGCTGCAAAATCAGGACCTGGTCCTTCCTCCACACAACCTGCTTTCGCCTGAGATGTGGTGTGGCACAGGGAAAATGAGCCAGGGCCAGGAAACCA